TATCCCTCCTCCTTCGTCCCTCTCCCGTCCCTCTTTCCTGCCTCGTCCTCCCTCCTCCTCCCTCCTCATTTCCCTCTACGTCCCCCTTGTTTCCTCCCGCCTCCTGCCTCCCCCCTTCCCACCTCCGTCCTCCCTTCCCCTTCCGTCCTCCCTCGTCGCTCCCTTTTGATACTTCCCCACCTTTTCCTCGAGACTTGGGCCCTCGTTTCGGCTTCGCCTCTGGGGGCTCCCAAGAGTGCCAGTTGAACCTTAATAATCAAATAGTTGTCATATTTGGAGAGCATAGATAATGTGGAGGAGGAGGAGGAGAAGGAGGACGGATGATTTCCAGGGACTCCAAGGAGCGAGGGTCGAAGGATTGACTTCAGGGTTTCCTTGAGAGGGTGTGGAGGGGCAGGTGGAGGATGCGAGCATGGGAGCGGCAGCGCCTGGGGGCGTGAACGTTGAGGGTCACGCGCCGAGGCCGCAGGATGGTGGCGCAACCGTCCGAACGAGGATTAATAACCACCTCGTCCTCGGAGGTACTGCTACTACAACTACTCCTTCCTCCCCCTCCCCCTCCTCTTCCTCGTCCTCCTCCTCCTCCTCTCCCCCTCCTTCTCCTCTCCCTCTTCGTCTCCCTCACCCTCATCTCCCCCCACCACCTCGCCCTCCTCTTTCGAAGCGCGTGGCGCGCGCAAGGCGATTGCGTTGGCGACGCGCCTTCCGAGCTGCGGGCGTCGAAGTTCCTCGGAAGTGGCGGTGGCAATGCTTTCTTGGGCGGGAGATCTGGGCGAGGGAATGCCGGGCCCCACGCGCCAGAAACATCCCCCATGACGGGGCGCGGCATCCAGAAGGATGCATGTGACATGTGGAAGCATGGCGCATGATTGTAAAATGATTGTTGTTGTCGTTGGCGTTGTCGTTGTCGTCGTCGTCGTCGTCGTCGTCGTCGTTGTTGTTGTTGTTGTTGTTGTTGTTGTCGTTGTTGTCGTTGTTGTCGTTGTTGTCGTTGTGGTTGTGGTTGTGGTTGTGGTTGTTGTTGTTGTTGTTGTTGTTGTTGTTGTTGTTGTTGTTGTTGTTGTTGTTGTTGTTGAACAGTGTTGAGCCCTCCCGGGCGCTGTGGCGCTCTCGCCTCGGCGCAGGTTATATTTTCATTGAACATGAGGCTCGCGCTCGAGCGGTTTGGGGGGGGGCGCCAAAACGGGCCCCCGACAACGACAACGCTCCTGTTCGAGACTTCCGCCTTTTGGATTCAGGGCCATTGCTCTTGCTCCTCCGCCGAAGGCTGCCGCCCCGATAAACCCAGCGCTGCCGCTCGAGACGCTCTCTCGTTTTACCTTGGACTGGCGCGCTACTTTTTTTTTTCCGCCGTTGCCCCCAGCAACAACAACGCCCCCGCTCGAGCAATCATCCCTTTTGTGATTCAAGGCGGTACTCCTCCTCGCCGCCGAAAGCCGTCGCCCCGACAAAACCAACGTTCCTGCCCGAGACGTCCTTCCGTTTTACGTTGGGCTGGCACCCCACTCTTTTTTGAATTGGCGCCGCTCCCAGCAAGAACAACGCCCCCGTTCGAACTTTTTTTATTTTTCCTCGGGGCGGTGCTGTTCCTCGCCGCCGACAACCCCCGTCCGGACAAAACCACTGTTCCCGCTCGATGCTTCTTCCTTTCTTATTCAAGGCGGTGTTCCTTCTCGCCGCCGAAAGCCGCCGTCCCAACAAAACCAGCGTTCCCGCTCGAGGCTTCGTTTTGTTCTACGGTGGAGTGGCGCCCGACTCTCTTCAGCATCGGTGCCGTTCCCAGCAACAACAGCGGCTTCCCTTTCTATTCAGGGCCAGATCCTTGCCTCGCCGCCGACAGCCCCCATCCCCACCAAGGCAATCCTGTCGCTCGATATTTCCTTGTGTTTTACCCTTGGCTGGGGTTCCACTGGCGGTCTCGCATCGGCGCAGCAAGGTGCGGGCATGCGTTTTCGAGACTGGATCTGTCATTGGGCGGGATATCTAGGAATGGGAATAACGGATCCCGCTGTAGAGCAGTAGTCTTCCATATGGTCGCATGGTTCGTGTGGAAACATTTCGCATGAGGGTAAATTGATTGTTGTTGATGCTGCAAAGCGGGAGCCAACTTTTACATCCCCTTGTCAAACACAGGGTGCGAGCCCGGGCGGGCATTTCAATTGAAAAACACAGAAAGGGCACCGGGGAGGGGGAACCAATAATACGTATTCTTTATATCAAAAAATTCAGCCAGTTTTGATAGTGTGACTCTCTTCGATATTGGCGTGCCACTCGATATGTATAACCCAAATCCTCGATGCGCGCCCTCCTCGTCTTCAATCGTATCTCCTTTAGGGGTGTACATCCATTGCGCGCCACATGTGGTTGGCGCGGCCAGTGAAATACGAGGTGGGAGAAGGAAACGACAGAGCGAACAAATGAGAAGGAAACGAGAAGGGAGGGGGGCAAGAGGAACGAAGGATGGTTGAGGGCGAAGAAGATTTAGCAGCAGGTGGAGGAG